TTTTTTGAGATGGAGTCTCACTCTGTCGCCAGGGTGAAGTGCAGTGGCATGATCTCGGCTCACTGCAAAGTCCACCTCCTGGGTTCAAGTAATTCTCCTGCCTCAGCCTCCCGAGTAACTGGGGCTACAGGCATGTACCACCACGCCCAGCTAATTTTTGTGCTTTTAGTAGAGACGGGGTTTCACCATGTTGGCCTGGATGGCCTTGATCTCTTGACCTCATGTTCCACCCGCCTCAGCCCCACAAAGTGCTGGGATTACAGGCGTAACCAACTCGCTGGACCAGAATCTAGTAAAACAATTTTTTTTAAATTGTTTTTATTGTACTTTAGGTTCTGGGGTACATGTGCAGATCATGAAGGATTGTTGCATAGGTACATACATGGCAATGTGGTTTACTGCCTCCATCTCTCTGTGACCTACATCTGGCATTTCTCCCCATTTTATCCTTCCCTGACCTCCCCAACCCCCTGCTGTCCCTCTTTTGCCCCCCCAACAGACCCCAGTGTGTGATGCTCCCCTCCCTGTGTCCATGTAATCTCAGTGTTCAACACCCGCCTATGAGTGAGAACATGCGGTGTTTGATTTTTTAATGCAAATGCCTATGCCCCAGTGCAGGCTTAATGAATGAACAGATGGAGGAAGTCTTCTCCAAAAAGGAGGTAGTTTAGTTCAGACTCTATTTGAAAACATGCAGCATATGGCTGGGCAAGGTGGCTCACATATGTAATCCCAGCACTTTGGAAGTCCCAGGTGAGAAGATTGAAGCCAAGAGTTCAAGACCAACCTGGCCAACACAGCAAGACCCTGTCTCTATAAAAAATAAAATTTGAAAATTGCAAATACTGTTAAACAATGAAAGTAAAAATATGCAGCACACAATATACCCTCTCAAAAAGAAGACATAGCTTCTTACAGGAGGCTGACTTAGTCTGTTTTGTTCTGGTTCTTTGTGTGTGTGTGTGTGTGTGTGTGTGTGTGTGTGTGTGTGTGTGTGTGTGTGTGCACTGTGTCTGTTTTGGAGGCAGGGTCTTGCTCATTTGCACAGGCTGGAGTACAGTGGTGCAATAATAGCTTACTGCAGCCTTGACCTCCCTGGCTCAAGTAAGCCTCCCATCCCAGCCTCCCAAGTAGCTAGGACCACAGGTGCATGCCACCACACCCAGCTAATTCTTGTATTTTATGTAGACTGGGTTTCCTCATGTTACCCAAGCTGGTCTTGAACTCCTGAGCTCAAGTAATCCATCCCAAGAGTGCTGAGACTACAAGGTATGAGCCACTGTGCCCAGCCTATTTTGTTCTATCTTTAAATGCCTGGTTTAGCATCAGAAGAAAAGCACTGTATTGGTTTCCTAGGGCTGCTGTAACAAATTACCACAAACTAGGTGACTTAAAAGAAACTTATTATTTCACAGTTTTGTAGTCTAGAAGTCTGAAATCGAGGTGTTGGCAGGGGTATTTTCCCATCTTCTAAGGCTCTAGAAAATAACCAATTCCTTGCTTCTTCCATCTCCTGCTGGTTTTTGGAATTATTTGGCATTCCTTGGTTTATGGATGCTTCATTCCAATCCCTGCTTCCATGAGAGCCTTTTCCCCTGTGTCTCTGTTTTTCAAATCCCTCTGCTTTTTCCCTGATAGGACATCAGTCATTGGATTTAGGGCCCACTCTAAATAAAAGATGATCTATTCTCAAGATCTTAACCTTAATTCTATCTGAAAAATCATTATTCCAAATAAGTTCCTATTCTGAGGTTTTAGGTAGAGATATTTTTTGGGAGAACATCATTCAACTCACTACAAGGGATATTTGCTATGCAGAGCCAGAGAGGCACCCTGTGAATGGAGTAGATGGAGAGAGACGATAAAATATGTATCACAACTCATGAGTGAATTAGCACAAATACATGAGGATTTAAGTGGTTAACTGTGGATATAGGCACTCCTATAGGAGGTCTGACGTGAAACTATAAGTTGAAGTTCTTGCTTTGGTGAAATAAGAGCAAAAAGATCAGACAGCTGAGTAGTCTTCCAAATAGTAAAAATTTCCTGCTGAGTAGATGCCATTGAAAGCTCCATCCCATGGTAACATCAAGGGGAAGAAAATCTTTTGCTATTCTTGTAAGTCTCTTTGTTTCTGTGGTCCCATCTATTAGCTTAATTGGAGAGAAAGAGAAGGCAGGGTGGAAGTCTCTCTGCTAACTTTGATATTCCTGTGGTTTTGTTCTCCAGGTCACTGTAAAACCCCAGAGCAGTTTCCATTTGCCAGTCCTACAACCCCAATTAATGAGTCTGAGTTTCCAGTTGGGACATCTTTGAATTATGAATGCCATCCTGGGTATTTTGGGAGTATGTTCTCTATCTCCTGCTTAGAAAACTTGGTCTGGTCAAGTGCTGAAGACAACTGTAGACGTGAGTAACCCCTCCCTGGGAGCTACTTCATGTCTGGGCGTTGGTGGAACTGGGCTTGGTAGCTCACACCTGTAATTCCAGCACTTTGGGAGGCCAAGGCTGGCAGACAGCTTGAGCTCAGGAGTTCGCGACCAGCCTGGACAACATGGCCAAACCCCATCTCTACAAATAACAACAACAATAAAAACCAAACAGCTGGGATTTGGTTCAATTTGCTTGAATTTTGGAGGCAGGATGTCTACATTTGCCCAAGGTATTTTTAAAGGGTGAATTTGTACATCACCTCTTCTTATTGCCTGAAGTTTCTGAACCTTGACTAGATGCTCATTTCATGAGAATGACTCTCACAAAGGAATTAGAAAGAAAATTTACATTCACTGTAGATGATCTTTGGTGGCTGAAACTATGAAATGAATGAAACATGAGTACAAAAGAAATTTATGTGGGTTGCAGTGAACTGTGCTTGGCTAACTAAAAATAGGGAGGATATCCTAAATTTTGAGGCCTTTGATTTTGGCTGGTGGAATAAGAGTACAACACTTTAGCCATAAATGACTTGTTTTGTGTTGTATTGTTTCTGTTGTTGTTGTTTTGTTTTATTTTGTTTTGCTTTGAGATGGAGACTTACTCTATGACCCAGGCTGGAGTGTAGTGGCGCAGTCTTGGCTCACTGCAACCTCCTCCTCCTGGGTTCAAGCAAGTCTCCCTGCCTCAGCCTCCTGAGTAGCTGGGATTACAGGTGCCCATCTCTAGGCCCAGCTAATCTTTGCATTTTATAGAAGAGATGGGGTTTTGCCATGTTGGCCAGGCTGGTCTTGAACTCCCTACCTCTGGTGATCCACCTGCTTTGGCCTCCCGAAGTGTTAAGATTACAGGCATGAACCACTTCACCCGACCCATAAATCATCTTTATTAGGAGATGCAAGGTAGTCTTTTTAAAAGTGGTTTAAAGATTTTGTGGTTCTGAGGTTGTCTGCCAAGTTTCCTCAACGTAGTCAATTCTGTTGAAACAATCAGAACTGTATATGCTGTTCAGTATGCCACACTCCAGTTTGAGCCTTACAAACAAAAGTAAGTTGAACTCTATATTTAATCTCAAATTCTGCTTCTTCCTCCTAGGAAAATCATGTGGAACTCCTCCAAAACCCTTCAATGGAATGGTTCATGTAAACACAGACACCCATTTTGGATCAACAATTAATTATTCTTGTAATGAAGGGTGAGTTGAAAATACCATCTCTTGAATATTAGTTCCAGAACAGCAGAGCCAACTTCTGACCCAGTCTCAGATAGACAAACTAAACTATTGCTACCTTTACTTTAAAAGCAAGCAATAGGACTTCTAGATGGAGATTATACCTTGGACATAGGCATATGATCAAAGGAATACGAAAAAAAAAAAAGGAATAATCTGTATTGTATTGTAAACGGGGGGAAGGCACCATGTTCCTGTCAGAGGTGGTACGTGTGAAACCTGGTCAGGCATTCTTGAAAAGGAGCAGCTTACAGTAAAAGGAAAACAGGTAGATGAACGATGCAAACCTCCTTAACTGAGATCAGTAGGTACTACAATTGAGTTGGAGGACCCTGAATCAGGGTTTGGGAGGGTAAATCTTAATTGTAACAACAGCTCTGAGGCAAGTGTATGCATCAAAAGTACACACAGAAAGGGGACATTTATGAGGTTCTTGCTCTTGACTTCTCCTTGGGACAAGTAGCCAGACAAGAAGCCACTGCCTCAACTAAGAAAGGGCTTTTAAAGACTCTGGAGTGGACTTCCAGCAAACTCCAGCAAACCTGCAGCAGAGGGGCCTGACTGTTAGAAAGAAAACTAACAAACAGAAAGGAATAACATCAACATCAACAAAAAAGGATGTCCACGTGAAAACCCCATCCAAAGGTCACCAACATCAAAGACCACAGGTAGATAAATGCAAAAAGATGAGGAAAAACTAGCACAAAACAGCTGAAAATTCCAAAAACCTGAACGGCTCTTCTCCTCCAAACAATCACAACTCCTTGCCAGCAAGGAAACAAAACTGGACGGAGAATGAGTTTGATGAACTGACAGAAGTCGCCTTCAGAAGGTGGGTAATAACAAACTCCCCTGAGCTGAAGGAGTATGTTCTAACCCAATGCAAGGAAGCTAAGCACCTTGAAAAAAGGAGGAATTGCTAACTATAATAACCAGTTTAGAGAAGAGCATATATGACTTGATGGAGCTGAAAAACACTGCACGAGAACTTCATGAAGGATACACAAGTATCAATAGTGGAATCAATCAAGTGGAAGAAAGGATGTGAGAGACTGAAGGTCAACTTAATGAAATAAAGCATGAAGGCAAGGTTAGAAAAAAAGGAACGAAAAGGAATGAATAAAGCCTCCAGGAAATAAGGGACTATGTGAAAAAAACAAACCTACATTTGATTGGTGTACCTGAAAGTGACGAGGAGAATGAAACCTAGTTGGAAAACACTCTTTAGGATATTATCCAGGAGAACTTCCCTAACCTAGCAAGCAGGCCAACATTCAAATTCAGGAAATACAGAGAACACCACAAAGACACTCCTTGAGAAGAGCAACTACAAGACACATAATTGTCAGATTCACCTGATTGAAATGAAGGACAAAATGTTAAGGGCAGCCAGAGAGAAAAGTCGGGTTAATCACAAAGGGAGGCCCATCAGACTAACAGTGGATCTTTCTGCAGAAACCCTACAAGCCAGAAGAGAGTGGGGCCAATATTCAACATCCTTAAAGAAAAGAATTTTCAACCCAGAATTTCATATGCAGCCAAACTAAGCTTCATAAGCAAAGAAGAAATAAAATCCTTTACAGACAAGCAATTGCTGAGAGATTTTGCCACCACCAGGCCTGCCTTACAAGAGCTCCTGAAGGAAGCACTAACATGGAAAGGAACAACCGGTACCAGCCACTGCAAAAACATACCAAGTTGTAAAGACCATTGACACTATGAAGAAATTGCATCAACTAATGGACAAAATAACCAGCTAGCATCATAATGACAGAATCAAATTCACACATAACAATATTAACCTTAAATGTAAATGAGCTAAATGGCCCAATTAAAAGACATAGACTGGCAAATTGGAGTCATGATCCATGGGTGTGCTGTATTCAGAAGACCCATCTCATGTACAGAGACACACATAGGCTCAAAATAAAGAGATGGAGAATTGTTGATCAAGCAAATGGAAAACAAAAAAAATAAATAAAAATAAAAAAGGGGTTGCAATCCTAATCTCTGATAAAACAGACTTTAAACCAACAAAGATCAAAAAAGACAAAGAAGGCCATTACGCAATGGTAAAGGGATCAATGCAACAAAAAGAGCTAACTGTCTTAAATAAATATGCACCCAATGCAGGAGCACCCAGATTCACAAAGCAAGTTTTTGGAGACCTACAAAGAGACTTAGATTCCCACACAATAATAGTGAGGGACTTTAACACCACACTGCCAATATTAGACAGGTTATTGAGACAGAAAATTAACAAGGATATTCAGGACTTGAACTCAGCTCTGGGCCAAGTGACCTAAGAGACGTCTACAGAACTCTCCACCCCAAATCAATAGAATTTACATTCTTCTCAGCACCACATTGCACTTATTCTAAAATTAACCACGTAATTGGAAGTAAAACACTCTTCAGCAAATGCAAAAAATAGAAATCATAGCAAACAGTCTCTCAGACCACAGTGCAATCAAATTAGAACTCAGGATTAAGAAACTCACTCAAAACCTCACAACTACAGGGAAAGTGAACAACTAGCTCCTGAATGACTGCTGAGTAAATAACGAAATGAAGTCAGAAATAAATAAGTTCTTTGAAACTGATGAGAACAAAGACACAACATACCAGAATCTCTGGGACACAGCTAACGCAGTGTTTAGAGGGAAGTTTATAGCATTAAATGCCTACAGGAAAAAGCACGAAAGATCTAAAATTGACACCCTGATGTCACAATTGAAAGAACTAGAGAAGCAAGAGCAAACAAATTCTAAAGCTAGCAAAAAACAAGAAATAATTAAGATCAGAGCAGAACTGAGGGAGATAAAAACACGAAAAACCCTTCAAAATATCAATGAATCCAGGAGCTGGTTTTTGAAAAGATTAACAAAATAGATAGACCACTAGCCAGACTAATAAAGAAGAAAAAAAAAAAAAGAATCTAAGAATCAAATAGACACAACAAAAAACAATAAAAGGAATATCACCACTGATCCCACAGAAATACAAACTACCATCAGAGAATATTATTAATACCTCTATGCAAATAAACGAGAAACTCTAGAAGAAATTGATAAATTCCTGGACACATACACCCTCCCAAGACTAAGCCAGGAAGAAGTCGAATCTCTGAATAGACCAATAATAAATTCTAAAATTGAGGCAGTTATTAGTAGCCTACCCACAAAAAAATTCCAGGACCAAATGGATTCACAGCTGAATTCTACCAGAGGTACAAAGAGGAGCTGGTACCATTCCTTCTGAAACTATTCCAAACAATAGAAAAAGAGGGACTTACTCATTTTATGAGGCCAGCATAATCCTAATACCAAAACCTGGGAGAGACGCAACAAAAAAAAGAAAATTTCAGGCCAGTATCCCTAATGAACATCAACGTGAAAATCCTCAATAAAATACTAGCAAACCAAATCCAGCAGCACATCAAAAAGCTTATCCACCATGATCAAGTCTGCTTCATCCCTGAGAGGCAAGGATGGTTCACCTTATGTAAATCAGTAAACAGAATCCATCACATAAACAGAACCAATGACAAAAACCACATGATTATCTCAATAGATGCAGAAAAGGCCTCTGATAAAATTCAACACCGCTTCATGCTAAAAACTCTCAATAAACTAGGTATTGATGGAATGTATCTTAAAAAATAATAAGAGCTACTTATCATACTGAATGCGCAAAAGCTGGAAGCATTTCCTTTGAAAACAGGCACAAGACAAGGCTATTCTCTCTCACCACTCATATTCAACATAGTGTTGGAAGTTCTGGCCAGGGCGATCAGGCAAGGGAAAGAAATAAAGGGTATTCAAATAGGAAGAGAGGAAGTTAAATTGTCCGTTTGCAGATGACATGATTGTACATTTAGAAAACCCCATCATCTCAGCCCCAAATCTCCTTAAGCTGATAAGCAACTTCAGCAAAGTTTCAGGATACAAAATCAATGTGCAAAAATCACAAGCATTCCTATGCAACAATAACAGACAAACAGAGAGCCAAATCATAAGTAAACTCCCATTCACAATTGCTACAAAGGGAATAAAATACCTAGGAATAACTTACAAGGGATGTGAAGGACCTCTTCAAGGAGAGCTACAAACTACTGTTCAAGGAAATAAGAGAGGACACAGACAAATGGGAAAACGTTTCATGCTCATGAATAGGAAGAATCCATATTGTGAAAATGACCATACTGCCCAAAGTAATTTATAGATTCAATGCTATTCCCATCAAACCACCATTGACTTTCTTCACTGAATTAGAAAAAAGCTACTTTAAATTTCATATAGAACCAAAAAGAGCCTGTATAGCTAAGACAATCCGAAGCAAAAAGAACAAAGCTGGAGACATCACACTACCGACTTCAAACTATACTACAAGGCAAAACAGCACGGTAGTGGTACCAAAACAGATACATACATCAATGGAACAGAACAGAGGCCTCAGAAATATTGCCACACATCTACTACCATCTGATCTTTGACAAACCTGACCAAAACAAGCAATGGGGAAAGGATTTCCTATTTAATAAATGGTGTTGGGAAAACTGACTAGCTATATGCAGAAAGCTGAAACCAGACCCCTTCCTTACACCTTATACAAAAATAAACTCAAGATGGATTGAAGTCTTAAATGTAAGACCTAAAACCACAAAAACCCTAAAAGAAAACCTGGGCAATACCATTCAAGACAGGCATGGGCAAAGACTTCATGACTAAAACACCAAAAGCAATGGCAACAAAAGCCAAAATAGACAAGTGGGATCTAATTAAAGAGCTTCTGCACAGCAAAATAAACTATCATCAGAGTGAACAGGCAACCCACAGAATGGGAGAAAATTTTTGCAATCTATTCTTCTGACAAAGGGCTAATATCCACTATCTACAAGGAACTTAAACAAATTTACAAGAATATTAACAGACACTTCTCAAAAGAAGACATTTACACAGGTA